AAAAAACAAAAACAAAAAAACAGATTGCTATTAAGGATTTTCTTGGGCAAGAAGATCCCATCGTCATTATACTAGAAGTCAAATACGCAAATAAAAAATAACCAAATAAGTTAATAGCATTTGAAATTTGTGTTAAAAATCAGAAATATAAAATGATATTGTGCTGTAAGCATGGACTTGAAGCCGCCGCGTTACGTGAAATTCTATTCCGATTATACACAAAATATGTAATTTCGATTTGATTCCATCGTCAGATTTTTTTTATTGTTCCTCTATACATGACGACATCGCTACGGACAAAGTGTGTAATTTTGATCATAGTTAATAGAGGGGACTATTAACTATGTTCTGATTATACCCCAGTGAAGTGGGGTACGCGCTTGTTACTAAGCAACAAGATGCAAATTTGAAGGCATGCGGTTTGTGGCTCTCGATCGTCGCTTGTCCGATTTACTTTACGCGAAGACTGCAACCAAAGTGACGTCACAAGCCCAAATCACGTGATATTTTGGCCGCGCGATTGAAATGCCATTTTTGAAAGCCCAGATTGGAAAATTCAAATCGCTGTAAAATCGTAGGTTTTTATTGAAATCATCTGAAATTTTGGAATTTTACATTGAAGATGTCATACTTTAAGAGATGATCGAAACCCGGTATGCTTCATATTTACTATGAATAAATTTTTACAAGTTTGATATTCGAAATACAGTTATATAAATTCCAAATAATAATCTAAAAAACTAAATATTGTCTATATTGTTTATTTAGAACGCGAGTTAGAATATTTTGGTTTAGACGGACATGCCCGTTAGGTGTGAACAACAAGCATGGCGTCCTTCATTTATGGCACGTTAATTTACCGAGATAACAATTTGGTGATTCATTCTACATCAAAAAAAGTCTGAACGACTTGTATGTCTTTAAAAATCTTTTTAATAAAATAAATATTGYTTATTTAGAACGCGAGTTAGAATATTTTGGTTTGGACGGACATGCTGGTCCGGGAACGAAAAAAATATGGCGTCTTTTCGTTTATACATGTTCATTTACCGAGGTATTCATTTGGTGATTCATTCTACATCAAAAAATATATTAACGAGTTGTATTTCCATAAAACGTTTCTAATATTACAGCTATATTCCATTATGAGTGAGTGATGCAAGAAAATCTTTAATATTTTGGTTTGAACTGATATGTGATGTAAACAATAAGCTTCTTGATGAGACGCTGTCTCTTGCGTTGCTATGATACAAGAGCAGTCGACTGTAATAAGTAGTCATACGCATGCGTTATAGACCACGTGGTTTAAGATTGACTTTTTAATTATTTACACACTTTGTCCGTATTGTGAGATTTTGCTCATCAAAACATTGGAATGACGTCATCACGATGAGCGTGCGCGCACTAAATTCATGCGTAGAGAGGATGCGCGCGAACAATACCCATTAACTTCCTTAATGTATAATATATATTTAGGCACTGCATAAAAGCGGAGCTCCCGATAGGAGAGGGAGCCCAATTTAGAGAAAACTGAAAGATGAAAATAAAATCCATCGGGCAAAAAATCTTCAATTTTTTCTCTCCATTGAGATGAAGACAATGTCCAGAAGGGAAACCATGAAGTGAACAAATTAAATGGAAATGCACTACATCGTTTTCTTCGCACGAGTCTTTGTTTTCGAACTTAGTACTTTCCCACTTAGGAATTTTGTCACATGTACACAGCCCATCACCGTCCACCCCAGGGGCTGGTTTTGTTCTTGAAAAATTCTTCGACAAAGGGTTGCATGGCCGATATTTTTACGCTTTGAAAGACGAAAGATAAGTACAGACAATTCAATAAAATGTCAAGCTTAGTGAAATTTACCTTGGATGTGTTTCATTAAAATCCAAATTTCGGTGATTTCCTATCTTTTTATGGACAAATGAACACGGCATATAAAGACTGAATAGTTTTCTGATCCTAATTCTTCATTCAATTATTTTTATTCCTTTTATATAAGCCTTAACTACTTTTCGATAAGCATGAAAACATAAGCTGTAAATACTGGATTTTGAGTTTCGATTTTACTACTCTTCCCAGTAGACCGAGTTAGTTGTGATTTTTTAATCGCCTTCGTAGCGTCTGTTATGTTATCCGCAAGTACATTTCAAATCGACCACGTGATGCATATGTTGTACCACGAGGACAAGTTTTTTACACCATGTGATTAAAACTTGACTGAATTTTGATCACGTGGTGTAAAAAACATGTCTACGTGGTACAACATTGGCATCACGTGGTCGATTTGAAATGTACTTCTGAATAACGTAACAGACGCTACGAAGGCGATTAAAGAATCACAACTGCCTCGGTCTACTGGGAAGAGTAGTAATTCCATTTTTTGTTTTCCATCTGTTTTCATGCGCGAGAAAGATACGGAACTGAATCACGAACGACCGAAACGTTTTCGAAAAACAAAGTTTACGTGATTCAGATAAACTTGTTAAAAAACAACTGAGACAAAATAGAGAAATAAAGCAAAATGCAATGCAAAATATAAAATGTCAGTCCTTGTCAGTAAATTGGGATTTGTAAATGTTTTTGAATATTTTTTAGCTTTTTAAAGTGAAAGTCTTGGTTTTCATACAATATAAACATCTTTCAAGAACACAAATTTAAGCTCACTTGTATAATCATACTTGCTCGAACAGCTTAATAAACAGTTGAATATCTGGAGTAATTTTATATTTCATTCAATATATAAATAAATTATCTGTAGAAAGATATACTGAAAATTATTCAGGGGCGGCGGAAGCGGGGGGGCCGGGGGTGCACTGGCCCCCCCACTAGATTTTTTGGGGGGGCTGCCCCCCCCAGAATATAATGCCCCTCACACACACAAAAAAAAAAACGCATGAGATTTGGTTATGATTACCATTATTTATTATTCTGATATTACATAATTTTCTGTATCTAAAAAAGATACGATATATCTAGCGACGACTTGCATCATTTTTGTGTGTCTCTCAGCACAATTGCAAGTGGTTTAATGCGCGCAAAATGTTACTGATTGAAATATCACACATACGCGTTTGTAATCAAGATAAACAGGGGGGGGGGGGGGGGGGGTCATTTCAAGGTACCGTGAAATATTGGAGTGCCCCCCCAAAATTTTTCAGCTTCCGCCGCCCCTGTTATTGAATGAAAGTCTTCAGCTTTGTTTTGCCGATGGGACCCGCGACAGGAGGCAAACAAAGCTGTATTTTTCTTGAACGAAAAACATACGATATATGGTTAAAAACAATCGAATCGATAAAGATTTACAAAGCTAAATAAAGGACGAACATTTGTTGTAAAATGCTCTCCTTGTAATATTTCTTTCAGCATTGAAATAAATTAAGCTTATGGYTATAGAAATATTAAAAGTTTTGAGAGAAAGTCTTTGATTTGTCGATTCGTCTAAAAAGAAATGCTTCAGACATCTTTGACTACATTAAAGTTTTTTTAAAGGCCAATCTAGACGGCACAACTTTTGCCTACAACTTGTACGCGCGTACGCTGACGACATAGCTACAACTCGAATTGCTTCGTCTAAATTAACCGTACAACCTGCTCACAACTGTTGCACGCAACACGAAAAAAGCTGCACAACTTTGAGATTTTTCTCAAGGTGTGAGCAATTTTTACAAAGAAATGAAGACTGAGGGGGAGAGGGTAACGATATGGAACCGGAACCAGAAATGGCACTTCCAAATGTTACGAAAACGAGGAAAACAAAACAATGCAAAGACGAAGAAAAGAAATTTTCAAGCGTTGAAATCGAAAGGTTGGTTAGCGGATGGGCAAAAGAGGAAGTTTTATTCAACTGTAAGCACTCGTCTTATTTCAACAAAGATCATAGAGCTGCAGCAATGCAGCGAGTAAAGTCCATTAATCGTGCTATTTTGTGACTTGAATGCTTATAGTTTTCATGTTTAGACGTGTGATGTTGCTATTTTGCTCATAAATTCCCGTGTTATAGTTCTAGCTAGGTCAAATTGGAGGTTTCAGTTTCTTTCTTTTAAATAATTTGGTTCGCTGTACTACGCTTTCTGTTCGCCATCTTGTTTGTTGCCGTCCCCAGTCTCCTAAACRACAAACCGAGCAAATTACTTGCAACTTTTTTTTGTGTCGTAAGTTGAAAGTTGTGCGCGTCTAGATAACGGCTACAACACGTTATAAAACTCTCGCGTGTACAAGTTKTAGGCAAAAGTTGTGCCGTCTAAATTGGCCTTTATATCTGTTGTTGGTCTATAATTTGTTCTAAAGCGATTTTTTTCTGTGCAATTTAGAGCCGCATTTGCGAGTAGCTTTGCTTTGATATCAAGCAGAATCCCAGTGTTGTGTACACGGTCGTGCGGACGTACGGAAGTGACGTCAGCCAAGCCATGAAAAATCAACTCCATGGCTTACTATTTTTTTCTTAAGTATGGTGCTCTGCTCGCGTGGGCCTTCGGCCCGCGCGGGAGCTCCACTATTACTTTTCAGATAGTTATGGGCCATATTGACAGCGTGAAATCACTACACCCGTGAAATSGATATTATACTAATACACATTTCAGCAGACCCTAATTCTTCATTTGTGACTATTTGACTAGAGTGCATACCATATTGATATTCAATGTTTTTAACTCATCTAACTAACCATTCTTAGCCACAAAATAGACAAACACCAAACACTGCGTTAATCAAAATTTAGGAACAAATTTTAGGATCTTATCTAGCCATAAAATGCAATTGGGAAATCAGAATAACTATATGTATATAGAAAAACTTAAATTACTTTTATCCTCACTTCAACCCTTGGAGTTAGAAGGCCAAGTCTAAGGTTGCAGCTGTAGTTGCGAGCTAGGAAGCAAGACCTAGCTAACAACGGGCAATGGGTTTTTAGTAAACAATTCTTTTTAAAAACCACGCCTACCAAGGAACGTCTTTCTTGTCGGTTTATTTTCATCTTAGGCTTGTAGCTAAATCTCAGTTAATTAGGGTTCTAAATGACAAGTCGAATAAAGAGTAGCACTTTAGCAGACCCTAATTCTTCATTTGTGTCTATTTGACTAGAGTGCATACCATATATAATAATAATAATAACTTTATTAATGTCTCTATTTCTTCTAGCCGGGCACAAGTGCCCTACTAATCGGGGAGACAAAACACGAACACGAAGTCTAAGGTTGCAGCTGTAGTTGCGAGCTAGGAAGCAAGACCTAGCTATCTACGGGCAATGGTTTTTTAGTAAACAATTCCTTCTAAAAACCACGCCTACCAAGGAACGTCTTTCTWGTCGGTTTATTTTCATCTTAGGCTTGTAGCTAAATCTCAGTTAATTAGTGTTCTAAATAGAAAAAATCGAATAAAGAGTAACACTTTAGCTAGATTCTAGAGCTATTCGGCCTCTTGTCTAGCAGTAGGCTATGAGGGTGGTCACTGCCCGGGTTTATTTACATTATTAAATAAGTGGTTCGTTTATGTCCCTCTGATATTGGTTAGTGATGATCTGATAAAGTGTGGAGAAACGGGGCCGCCATTTAAAGTGCTCATCCTAACCACTGTTCTAATTGATTTTATAAGATGACTGTTATGAATGTCGCGTTCTGATTGGTTTGGAGCGCGTGTTTATGAGAGCACATTGCACGCGCGCGCACTTTCCATTGCGTCATTCCTATCTAAAATGACGGTCATTGTAATTTTATTTTATAAAAGAAATAAAAAAACTTGCTGTGCTGTGTGCCGTTATAAAGCACTTAGGGATTGGCAGAACACTCGAGAAGTGTCCAGAAGCACACCGCTACGCGTCATGCTTCTCCTAACACTTCTCTCGTGTTCTGCCAACCCCCGCGTGCTTTATGACTGCACACAGCACGCGCTCGCGTTTTCTATTTCTTCAACAAAGGCAGCACCTTCTTCTCAAAACCAATTCCCAACGACATGATCCAAATGAGTTACCGTCAATACCACTGTTTATGAAGACCACAGACTCAGGGTCAAGGGTAGTATATCAAGTGTCAAGGTTAATGTTATTTTAGATTATCTTTTTTTGAACAGAGAAACATTGATATTATATACGATCGTCTCTTTCCAATTTCCCCGCTTTCCCGGGGGTCGGGAGTTTCAATCTATTAGAGAGTTTTAGATTGACTTTTTTTCTTCCCGCAAACGGCAAACGTGACCACGTTTTCATCTTTTCCCTGTATTTTACTTGACCTTTTACAAACTTTCTCACTACACACAAATATTCTTCTGTTTTTCTACTACTTAAACTTTTTTGCGATTCTTTCTCCGCTATTTAAAATAATTTTTTCACTGGTCAACTGACGTTTCACGTTTGCCGTGAACGTAAATATAAAACTCTCTATTAGTGCGTTAGCGTCTCCACAAAGTCTTACGTTACTCTAAATGTCAGAAGAGGTCAAAATGTGACATGTTTAGCACTTGTAATTATGTAACATTGGAGAGAAGTTCGAAGTTGTCATTTAAAAAGCTCAAAAGATTCATCATGAATGTTTTTACGATCCATTTCCATCAAGATTTTAAATTATCACGTAATTAAAAAACAAAAACAAAAACAAAAACAAAAAACATTACGAATCATGTAGGCCACTTTATATGTATAACATGTATATACCATGACTAACGACAAATATGACTTTGAGAACATTTGGATCGTGAGCCAAAGAGATTGGGATATTCCCTTAAAGGGGTTTGAAACAGTAGAAAGGCAGTCGAAAAAATATGAAAATGGAACAAATAAAATGAAAAAAATGAACCAGACAGTTCAAGTGTCGTCACTGTATAAAGGCTCTTACCCTGCAATATTTCGCTTCACCCATTTCAGAGCTTGAACCTGATCTAACATACCATAGTTGCCTCTAAGATCACCATTCTCGCCTGTTGTCAGGAATCCAAAGACTGTGAGGCGGTAATTTATCACTACGACAATCACATCACCAAGACTAGAAATGTAGCTGCCATCGTATAATCTGTTGGAGCCGAATACGTAAGCACCTCCATGAATCCAGACCATCACAGGTAAAGGTGAACCACTAGACACCTCAGGTACAAACACATTCAGGTTGAGACAGTCCTCGCTAATGTTCTTGCCAATAGAGCGATTTGGAATCTGTGGACATTCTGTCCCAATGCTTGTCATGTCCTTCACGTCTGACCATTTTGTAGCGTTTTGTGGAGGCTTAAAACGATCTGCTTTAGCGAAAGGAATACCAAGGTACTTTCTGACTACATGACCCGTGGTGAGGTTAGCAACAAGCCCACGAATCCTTCCACTTTCGATATTCACTTCTGGTGTATGCTGAAAAGCATTCACCAGCAAGATCACAGAAGAAGACACAATCAGTGATAGAAACATTTTGCAATGCCTTTAAATATGTCAATTATGAACAACACTGATTACACAAGCTAATCGAGTGAAGCCGTTGCTGAGCGTCAATACAAAACAGACGTAAAATAACTGATGATTAACCATATGCAAATTGACATATCAAACTTGATATGTGACCCTTGCCAATATGATTTTCTGTCACAATAGTCTAATATCGGCGCGTGACATCCAAAAAAATTAAATTAAATAAATTTCAAATTATACGTTAAAATTCTACGATAAGTAATGAATAATGATATTTATGCAACAAAATCACTCATGCAAAATCTATTCCCAAATAATGTTTTTTTTGCGCACATCGCTATACAGAACAAGATAACCTTGCTTGTGCTTCCTGTGCTCATTTATAACGTGCACTCTGATTGGCTGGTTACTTATGAAAAGGAAACAGATGGAACACTCGGGCGCATCTTAATCAGTTGCGTTTTCACAATAGCGCAGCGCAGCCGTGACGTCATAAAAACGAAGACAAAG